AGAGGAGAAGACAGGCGTAATAGGAATACTTTATCAGTGATGATAGAAAGTATAAAAATGCAGAGTGGCGTCAGTATATTTGCCAGTGTTGAGGGCACAACAGTTAGCGGAAGTTCAAACATCAAAAGTGCTGGCTTTGTCGCGGTTCAGACGCTACGAGGGACATATTTCGGTTTGAATTCGGTGGCAAGGAGAATGCATGGCGATCATGAACACTGCTTCGTAAGTTGTGAGCCACCGAGCATGATTTGCTTTTGAGAACACGATTCAGTGTGTCACTCAGATCTTTGATGAACGTTCCTCACTCTTCTGCACATGCTATCACTGTATAAAACTTGGTAAACACTCCATGGATGACTACATTACTTATGCAGGTATAGTGAACCGACAGTGTGAACGCTTTAAACAGGCAGCCATGACAGAGACACAGTTCAAGCCTCTGATGCTCATCTGTAGTCTAGAGTCTTCGTCAGAAACGGACATCCACACACGAGTTCTCATCAAGCTGGAGCAAGACCTAGACATCACGCAGCAGAAAATGGCCGAGGATTGGCAACGCCTGCTTAATCTGAAACATCATTCCAATCTGGTGAAACAGCGGCACATCAACATGATAGACGTTAGACCGATGGAATCAAACCAATAGCAGTCCAAAAAGCCGCTTAAGCATGATGGAATTCTGGCGCATTGTATTACGCATCACAGGGCACTTCTCCACGACATCGGTGTAACCAATGTCAGCGGTTTGGTCACAAAGATGGTTTTATGCAAGCCACAGAAGTCGAGTAAAACAGACAATTCCAACAAACGACATTCGAAGCCAACACAGAGGAAGGCTAGCAGCAGTATTGTTGCTACCCATCAGGTCAACGCGACACCTCACAGACGCTACCTGACAGTGAGTGTTAATGGGTATCCCGCAACTCTTCAGTTAGACACTGGATGGAACATCACCATCATTTCACAATCCATTCTGGAAACCATCAGACGTCCTCCAGTTTTGCCAACACAACAAATTGCCCTCAGTGCATCTGGAACTACTCTCCGATTGGTTGGTGAGTTACAATGTGTGGTAACCTACTATGAGAAAACGTCTGAGTCTATATATTACCTGACTAATCAGCCAGGGCTGAACATTCTTGGTACTGACTGGCTAGATAAGCTTAAACTTGGGAGTATTCCTTTTGATAGCGTGTGCAAACTGACACTGGGTATCAGTGTCGCACTCAGAACTATCGATGCAAGGCTCCAGCAGACGATTTCACAGCGGTTGTTTCCGTGATACACAGTAGTTTTTCAGGACAATATCGAACTCTGCATCAAAATGATGGCTCAATTACAGTTGAGAACAGATGCCAAAACAGATTTTGGTCCAAAACTTCCAGCAACATATTCTGCCATAACCAGTGTTGAGCAAGAGGTTACTCGTCTACAAATAGCAGATGTCATACAACCGGTCGATTACTCTGACTAAGCTGCTCCCATTGTGGTAGTAGCACGTAAGTCTAACGGCTTCATCCGTGAATGATACACGGTAATGTAGAATTTTTCGACTATAGAGTAATTGCGTTCAAACTACTGCGCATATCGATAAATTCCAGCATTAGGCCGTAATGCGTAAGCGCCGTATCCTTAGTCCAGGGATTTCGCTTCGGGTCAGACGATTCACCATCGAACCATAGAGTAGTGTGTGCAATCGCAAAGTCTCCAGAACAAATGAACTCGCGATACCATCCATTCAGCCGCACACAATCGGCCTCCTTACAACCTTCATACTCATCCGGATAGCGCAAGGATGATACGTCTAACCTTATGCATTCATACGCCCTACGCCAATTAGGGATCTCGTCGCACATTAAACATGCAAAAACCACATCCTACCGACCTTCCATAGACTAATTTGCAGGTCAGCCCAGTTGTAATACTTAAAGGACTTATTGACACAGGTCGTTGAAATAGCACACCGACACAGAGGATTGTTGTAATATGATAGAAATCTGCTGTGCCACCACTTTATAGGTTAGGGTTGAGAGGTTGCGTTAAGGTAAACCGGATTTATTAAACTAAGACCTAACTCTGGAACCCTGTAATTATGCCACTAAACCTTGAAACTCCGTAACCATGCTTCGTCTTCGACGAAACCGTACACTCCGTACACAAAGAAATTATCGCCGTCTGCGTTGACGCATCCGAATCCGATGGATACGTTAGCTGCGGTAGATATAGCGCCCCACACTGACGTGCATATTCCGCCTGAACGAACGAAAGGAACTCCTCCAACTGACCAATCAAAGATGGCAGATGATCAATGATGTCCCCAAACACGTTCCTACTGTTTAGTGAACAGAAATCTCTTCCACACGAGGAATAATGCTCCTTCCAGCTTCCTATCCATGGTAGCAGAGCTCCTTCAGCCCACGTCACTTAGGAATCTCGTCGCACAAGAAATTTGAAAAAATTATCTAATAACCACCTCAAATAGGCTAACTCGCAGACTAACCCTCACAAAAATATTTAACACATTTAAGTTACTTATCAACGCAAGTAGCTGAAATGGCACAACGACAGAGGATTTCTGCAATACTAGGGCATGCCAGTTCGAGTGCGCGCAGCAAATGCTGACCGTTACGTGAGGAGAGTTTGAAATATTTATTTGCCAGCTCGGATATGCTCTTTTCCGTATTTCGGTCTCGTAGGATATCTTCGATGCGTTGATGTTCTCTATAGTACGTTCGGTTGAAAAAGCACACGTGACGCGTGTGGATCTCGCTGACAGAATCCTATAACCCTGTTTTGCATGCGTGCTGTGCACGGACGGTAGGTACCCATGAATGACAATAGTAGAAGTTGGAATTCCACAGACTTAACACAATCGCTAGCACGACAGGCATTTGGTGCTGAGCGGACCAATATGTAAAATTATGAGTATGAGGAGGAGTGGTTGAAAATGTTTTTGGTGATGGTGGTATAGACAGGCGGTCGAGTGGTTGCGAGCCATAATACTGAGCTAGAGGAGAAGACATAGGCGTGGTAGATATAATTTATCAGTGATGAGAGATGGTTGAAAAATACCGAATTGTGAGTGTACTTGCTAGTGTTGAGGGCACAACTGTTAGCGGAAGTCCAAACATCAAGGGTGCTGGCAAGGTTTTGCCAGCCGTCTTGTGGAGCAATAAGCGTAATGTTGAGTTGAGTTTCAAGGAGCACATGTCCCATCATACGGACAATGTCCTCGGAAGTGCAAAGGGGTTCAATATAAGGGAGAAACAGGAAAATTGGACTGACGGTACGTTTGTAGTATGCAAAAGATCATCCTGTTGAACTGGTGGTGGGAGGTTGGGAGGGAACTTCTTGAGAAACGGAATCTTGATGAAAGAAGGGAAGGAAGTGATATGGGGAAATATTGGAGAAGTAATCTCCAGGCATGTATCGGTATCCATTGGAAACAAGGAGTGGTGTGCGAGTGAGGAAGCCTGGGTGTTGGTCAAAGTCGTACCGTTTAAAGTAGACTTCATTTGCGGATAGCCCTTGTACATCGTCACATGCAAGGAGACCTTGTTCGGAAGTGAATTGCCAGTATGTATTAGCGTTGATTTCACAGTCTTAGTTTAGTAGGGCTGCTTCGGTTACGTTAGTGAGAACAGTGTTGAGTAGACCGGTGTCGTCTTGAGCTATATACATGTAGCCGTGAAACCCTGAGGCGATTTCCGTAGCGGGATATAATGTGATGGGTGGACAGTAGCGTGGTTAAGGGTGCGCAGAGAAAATGCTGCTCGTAGAGTTGCGAAAGTTTCCGCGTGCTGTTGACCTGACTGGAAAAAAAAACAAAAATTCGAATGCAGAGATGGGTAGGCAGGTAATGGCATATGTGCTTGAGGAATCCGCCGGGTTGTATTGGTTAATGGTAAGGTATTGCTTACGTGTAATGATGATGGTAGTGGTATTATGGGAAGATCGCAGGAATCGGATTCGTTTGGCTGTGGATTGTGCTGTATCTCCGGGAGTCTCCTCCTCAAATGTCGAATCGACCGCGATTCGTTTGCCACCAGTTGCCATACCAGAAAGAAAAATGGCAAGCACAAAAGGTGGTCGGTGGTTCGGGCAGTTCCGCACAGCCTACACGTACATTGAATTTGAATTTGTGGCAACACTCATATATAGCGGCAGCGTCGACAGATGTGATGTACTTTCCGAGACTATGATTGGTTGAAATCAGTACTGGCACACGCAGTAACGTCACATCAGGTGAATGCTTCACGTGAATGTCAAATGTATTACCACCGAGGAGTGCTTTAAAGTCATGAACCGTTTTTATGGTAATGCGTGGTTCTTTCATGAGCGCGACGGCCTTATCTACCAAGTTTTGAAGAAAAAATCGCGAGTGATCTGCAGACATTTGAACAGTCCCGCAGTGGTAGTTTTGGGATATCAGTTTCAAAAGTAGAGATTTGCCAGTTGTAGTGGGTCCTTCGATGCAAAAGGTGTTGAGCTGATCAATCTTCTTATTCATGATTTCGTGTATAGCAGTACAAAATGCATCCTTGTCGATATTGTTCACTCTTAATAAATCGTCAAAGAAAGTAGTGCAAGGATCTTGTGGGTGTGTGCACACATTATAATGATTATTCTCCATGATATATTCCTCAAAGGAGATATTCGTTTGCCTATTGAATAATTCCACGTTGTATGCTTCGATGCATTGTTTAGCCGTTCTCTCCCACTGGATTCCGAATTCCACGTATAGGGTTAGGCGCTGTTTTCGTGTGATACGCCATTTCAGATCCTTAATGTGGGTGCATCGGTGTGTGTCAATTAATTTATTGAGGAGCTCAGTACATTTTGTGCGCTTTGCCTTTTGGTGTTCTATACGTCGAGAATCTCGGTTGAGTAGGGCGCAGTCCTTTTGGTCAACCGGTGTTAGTTCAGTATGGGAGGCCAGAGGTTGGAGCTTATTACCGATAAGTTGGACACTGCATCCGGAACGTGCGAAGTATGGTGCGAATCTGTACCAGTCAATAATTGGTTGTATTGTAGTTAGGATATCAAACATATTGGATGGAGGTATGGATAAGGCCTGTAGAATGTGTTGTAACGATCGGTTAAGGTGCTGTGGCAGAGATTGAAAGACGACGTGGTAGTGGTCGTCGTGTTTTATTAGTATTGCCTTACTACGATGGTTTGACAAGATAACAGGTTCTGGACCGCGGTAGATGAAGGTCCACAGGTTGTCGGTGGAGTTGAGGCGTTGGACTATATCTTGTACAAACGTATTGTCAGATTCAGCTGTTTGTGACGCTTCATGTAATAGCTCATCTGGGATACGTGTTAATTGTGGCGGTACGGTATCAAGCATGTCATGTACTTTCGACGATGGAATGGCGGATACCGGTTGCATGCTTGTTGAGGGACCTAGGATGTCACCAATCATGAAAAAAGGGCACTTACGTGGTGGTGAAGCGTCAAAATCGACATTGTGTTCAGCTGCGCGTTTCAATACATGTGTAATACGCTGAACATGTTGTTCAACGGCAGATCTTGTTGATTTGGGAACAGGCGTTTCGATGCCCGTGGACTGCATTTCATGGTACCAAGTGTTATAGAGTTGTGGATCTTCCACACGGAGACGCTCACTCATGACCCAGTGTGAGTAGGATAGGATAACATTGGATGTTTCCATCTGATGTTTGTAGGTTTTGAATTTTTCTTGAAACGTAACATTCTTTTCTCCGTGCCATTGATCCAAGTTGGCGTTCATAGATCTGATGGTTTCAAACGGAGAGATCGGCTCCTGTATAAACGGCATCGCGGAAGAAGCGGAAAAGTAGTTGAAAAGGTTGGTGACCGTGCTGCTTATATACTGCCGGAAAGCGAATGTAAGCGGCAGGAGGCAAAAAAGTTCTGACAATTCTTCCTCTCCTCCCTCCGCTAAGAACCAACCGGACGCCAACTCTGTGGTAGCCATGTGAGCAACATCGATTGGCTCGATATCATTGGTTGGCTTGCTGACTCATTCCTATCTTACTATTGGTTGTATGTCTGTCGCTTGACTCTCCGTTTAGCAAGGGATTGACTCAGTTGTGCTTGGTTAATTTTGCGAGATGCATTTTTACCTTTCCTACGGCTTTCTTGATACAACATTGTGGCGTTGCGGAGGCAAAAATGAACCTTTCCATCCAACCCCCATCTCCATTTTCTACTGAGTGCGGCAGCAGACAGTCATCGGATGCCTGGTTCCGTTGGAAAACATCCTTCCTAAACTACTTGGATTTAATCAGCGATCTCCCTGCTGCTCCTAGTGAAGATAAAATATTGTAGCTGCTTCGACATTTACTCGGAGATGAGGGACAGCGGCATTTCGATGATTTGGGTCTCAAAGGATGCAAATCGGTTATGGATGCCTTCAATGCTCTCCATCGCGCATGGAGTTACCAAATGAACGTGTTTACCGCGCGATATATTTTCTCCCGAATACACCAAGAAGCAGGCGAACCCTTGAATGATTTCATTGCTCGGCTGAGTCGTGCAGTACGACCGTGTGCCTACTCGTCTATTCCACAGAAAAAGATTGAAGGCTGTATGCCCACTCAGCAACTGATCACTGGAATGGCTGACAATCGCACACGTGAGGCGCTATTGCAGGAAGACGCTTCCACAATAACGTGGAATCGAGCTTGCGAATTAGCCCGAGTAAAGACGGAAATTTCGTTGCAATCAAAGCAGTTTTGTTCCACCAGCTTAGCTGAAGTGGCGAGAGTATAATCTTTCCGGCAACGTCCGACAGACAAACTATCTTGCTATCGTTGTGGGAGCACGTCTCACAAACCCAATTTTGCCGGTTGTCCCGCACGCAGCCTCAAATGTAAAAACTGTGGTAAACTTGGACATTATGCCCGCTGTTGTAGATCACAGGCTGTCGCGCTCATTAAAGAGGATGATACACCGGAATGCCATGTTACCGATCCAACTCAAGACAATATCTATTCAATCACCGCTGACTCCATACCTTCAGGTTGTGTAACCATATCCGTTGTTGAACCGAAGTTTCCCACTGCTGACATTCGTACTGTATTTTTCCTTACTGTTAAAGGTGCTGTTCCATTGGAAATGGAACTTGATTCTGCTTCTCCAGTCGCTATCGTGCCTTTCCAATTTTGTGAACGCTACCTATCACAGCATACTTTACATCCCACCTCACATTCATTCTGGAGTTATAGTGGGAACAAACTAACCATATTGGGATTTATTATCGCGCCTTTGCGGTTGCATTCTGTGATTGCTGACGTCGCAGTGTATATTTCTTAGGGACGACAGACGCCCCTTGCTTGGGAAGAATGCTATGGTGGCTTTGCACATTGTACCATCATTCGACCGCATGCTTATCTCTTCCGTCAACGTAGCACACTGGCAGGGACATTATCCGAAGCTCTTCCAGAAGTCCATCGGCCGTATTCCATGTGGTGTGCAAAAAATTCAGTTGAAACCGAATGCGAAACCGGTCGCCATTGGTCAACCTCGATCCATTCCGCTAGCAAAGCGTGAAGCGGTCTCAGCAGCCCCGCAAGCGATGCTAGCAAATGATTTGTGTTTTGAAAAAGTAGGTACTGTCCGGATATGCAACGATTTGTAGGCACTGAACAAACAAACCGACGTAGAGCGCTTTGTTTTGCCATCTAATGATGAACTCACTGCACGTTTAGCTGGTGCAACTATTTTTTCCAAGCTAGATTTGAGAAGTGCCAGTGAATGATACACGGTAATGTTGAATGTTCCCACTATAGAGTAATTGCGTTCAAACTACTGCGCATATCGATAAATTCCAGCATTAGGTCGTAATGCGTAAGCGCCGTATCCTTAGTCCAGGGATTTCGCTTCGGGTCAGACGATTCACCATCGAACCATAGAGTAGTGTGTGCAATCGCAAAGTCTCCAGAACAAATGAACCCCCGACAAAATCCTTTCAGCCGCACACAATCGGCCTCCTTACAACCTTCATACTCATCCGGATAGCGCAAGGATGATACGTCTAATCTTATGCATTCATACGCCCTACGCCAATTAGGGATCTCGTCGCACATTAAACATGCAAAAACCACATCCTACCGACCTTCTATAGACCAGTTTGCAGATTAGCCCACACAAAACAGTTTTAATACTTAAAGGACTTATTCACCCAGGTCGCTGAAAAAGCATACCGACACCGCGGATTGCTGTAGTATGATAGAAATCTGCTGCGCCACCACTTTATAGGTTAGGGTTGAGGGGTTGCGTTAAGGTTAATCGGATTTATTAAACTAAGACCTAACTCTGGAACCCTGTAATTATGCCACTAAACCCTGAAACTCCGTAACCATGCTTCGTCTTCGACGAAACCGCACACTCCGTACACAACGAAAACATCGCCGTCTACGTTGACGCCTCCGAATCCGATGGATACGTTAGCTGCGGTAGATATGGCGCCCCACACTGACGTGCATATTCCGCCTGAACGAACGAAAGGAACTCCTCCAACTGACCAATCAAAGATGGCAGATGATCAATGATGTCCCCAAACACGTTCCTACTGTTTAGTGAACAGAAATCTCTTCCACACGAGGAATAATGCTCCTTCCAGCTTCCTATCCATGCTAGCAGAGCTCCTTCAGTCCTACGCCACTTAGGAATCTCGTCGCACAAGAAATTTGAAAAAATTATCTAATAACCACCTCAAATAGGCTAACTCGCAGACTAACCCTCACAAAAATATTTAATACATCTAAACTACTTATTAACACAAGTCGCTGAAATGGCCAAACGACAGCGGATTTCTGGAATAACATAGAGATCCGCTGTGTCAACTTTGTATAAGGTTAGGGTTAGGAGGAGGACGTCGTTTCGTCTGCCATAAATTTATGTATACTGTGAAATGAAAAGCTAGCAATCGGGTTTTGAATTTGTGCCAAGGCTGGAATTTTTGCTACAGGCTAGGAGCATGTTTGGACCATACCAGCGACTCCGAATTTGAGGAAGAAATCTTCGGTTCAAAAGCGACCTACGGGGAGGAACTTATTCATTAAACCCGTTCCAAAAGGCTTGTGTAAGGTTGGGCGTATCATCCTTGCGCTATTCGGACGAGTGTAAGTGTTGCAAGCAGACCGATGGTAGGCGGCTAAAAGATTGGTATCGCGAGTTCGCATGCACAAGAGAGCTGGCGATGTTACGCAAAACTCCATAAGTCGATGGTCAGACGTCTGATCCTAGGCGGAATCCCTGGAATAGCGATCCGTCGCTTACGCATTGCGGCGAAACGCTGCAATTCACTAATATATCGCCGGTGTTTCAACGCAATTGCCCTCTAGTCGGAAAATTCTATATCACGCTATACGTGCAATTTCGTGATCGCCGCATACCGGGTGCGGCCTTGACAGTGTACAGAGATAAGTCTGTTGTATAAAAAGCGATTAATTATATTCTTCAATACTATCAATGCGGCGTTGTAACCTACCTATACGGATCGCGCTTTCTTAACCGTATTACGTTATCAGAGTAAAATTAGAAGATACCATTATGCGTCTGGATCAAACCCAGCAGTATAGCCATTTGCGTTGACATTGTAAGGATGCCGAGAGAATAGTTATAGTAGGGTTTGCAACGGCGATTGTCCATAGTAGTCGTCGATAGCGACCAGACCTTCAGCTTCGTAGTGACCCCAATACGATGTTTCATTCTTCCAGTAACTGGTAGTTACCGAAAGCGATTATTCCGCTTCGTATTTCGATTTGCATCATCCAATAAGACAGTAGTGCCATTCCACGACGGTCTTAACGTCTCTGGGTATGGTAGGTGCCGCCAACTGCAGCGTTTGCCGGGGATTTGTATAATGACGCATGAAGAGCTCCGCATATTTATATCTGCAAGCTCGAAAACGCTTGCCCGCTCTTAAACTAATGCATTTATGTCTGCGAACTACCGCTACATGATGTTTGCAAGCGTGTGTGCCTCAAGGTTGCATGATGAAACGTTATAATTCTCATATTGCACACTTTTCGCCCATAGGTCTCACGCGCATTTGTATTTCTGCATCGTGTACTGTAGTTCTACTTTACTATCGCTTTTGAGATATAGCAGTAACACAGGCCATCACTTTCTGTGAACTTCGCTGCCATGTCCATCGCACGTTCTAACGTCATCACTTTTTCATCAGGTCATGTCCCGACCGCGGTATTGCGTTTTCGCCTTACGAACCGAACGTGGTTCGGAGGTTACCGTTATTAACAGCAAGTGGCTGCAGAATAATGGTCATACCGCCATCATACACGAACTACAGCACAGAGTGTACGATAACGCGGTCCAGAGTCACCGAACACCCGCACCCGGTTCGGGTGATTATGCAGACAGGTTTGTTGTGTACAGCGATTTCATTTTGCAGATGGCTAACAGTATACACGCTCCGTGTCTCTTGCATAAGCAGAACGGTTATTTGCGGATGACACGGATGACAGTATCAATGGGCACGCCGCGCAAACGAATTAGGTATTTCCATTTCTTAATTAACATTCCAAGAGACGAACAGCCGGACTACTTTTCGACGATGATGAGGAAGAATTGCGTGCACAACCGCGAAAAAAGCGTTTACCTGCCGACGCCACGTATCGAGCTGCACCATCGGCAGGAATGTTTGCCTTGGCATCAGAATCAATTGACACAATCAACCATCCTGTTCCGTCATGCAAATACACATAGCTTTCTCAAAATACTTCTGGCTCGGGGGACGAGAAGGCACTGGTTACAGACAAAGACGTTCAAACGACTGGTAAGGTTCTCGCTGTCCGCCACAAA